GGAACACGAGTACAGCATAGGGGTGGGCGATACGCAAACATATCGCGATACTTAAGACACTGTTATGATATATGATACTGATACATGATATATAAAAAGGATATTGTGATGTAATGTGATGTACACAGATCAGGCATAACATTATGATCCTTGTTTCTACGCTCATTGTCCATTTTATCAGCTCCACTTACTATATAGGTGCCCTTTGTAGTTCTACAGTTATAGACTGTAGTCCATCTGTTTCTCTGATACTTTGTTAGCCCCCTTTTACCCTGTTCTTCAGTGGTCAGGACCCCCATGGACCCTCACAGAGCAGGTACTATTTGGGTGGTGGATCATTCTCAGCACTGCAGTAACACTGACGTGGTGGTGGTGTGTTAGTGTGTGTTGTGCTGGTGCGAGTGGATCAGACACAGCAGTGCTGCTAGAGTTTTTAAACACTGTGTCCACTCACTGTCCACTCTATTAGACACTCCTACCTTGTCAGTCCACCTTGTAGATGTAAAGTCAGAGACGATAGCTCATCTGCTGCTGCACAGTTTGTGTTGGTCCTCCTCTAGTCCTTCACCAGTGGTCACAGGACGCTGCGCACAGGACGCTGTTGGCTGGATATTTTTGGTTGGTGGACGATTCTCAGTCCAGCAGCGACACTGAGGTGTTTAAAAACTCACTCAGACCAGCACAACACACACTAACACACCACCATCACGTCAGTGTTACTGCACTGCTGAGAATGATCCACCACCCAAATAGTACCTGCTCTGTGAGGGTCCATGGGGGTCCATACCACTGAAGAACAGGGTAAAAGGGGGCTAACAAAGTATCAGAGAAACAGATGGACTACAGTCTGTAACTGTAGAACTACAAAGTGCACCTACATAGTAAGTGGAGCTGATAAAATGGACAATGAGCGTAGAAACAAGGAGGTGGTCATAATGTTATGCCTGATCGGTGTAATTTAGCAACACGATAAATATTAGGGATGCACTGATATATATTACATATTTATCTATGTAATAACACAATAAAATGTACTGACTTTAATTACTTAAATTTGTTCACTTAATTATTTCCATAACCATCATTCTCAGCACTGCAGTAAGATGACTCACACCTTCAGCTAAAGAGGCTAACATAGGCATTTTTAATGTTCGGTTATCTGTGCTTATTTGTGGCTTACAGTATAAACATTATGGCAAAACTAACTTTAGGAAGATCACTCAACACTAGTGACTCCTCTCGTTACATATTTTGCAATGAGCATTTTTTTACTACTGTTTGTCTCAAGCAGTAAATAATCCCACACCTCTGAGTGCTGCTGCTTCAGTTAAGGTCCATACACTGCTGCGAACACACGCATCACTCAGTAGTGCGCTTCAGAAATTGCTCCGTATATTTATCCTCTATTTCAGTGTCAATTAGTACCAGAATCAGTGCAACACTAATAAATATCCTCAAACTGCCCACCCCCAGTACGGCACAAACACGGATGCACTCGTTCAGATTTACCAACAAGCAACCTTGTGCAGTGCAGCCCTGAAAGCCCACCGTTAATCCCAAAGCGCTTCACCACAGACATGTGCACACTGACAATACAATGTGTAGCCAAAACTCACCCAAAATAATTGCCCAGGATCCCTTTAAAAATATTTAAATTGTGTTTCACAACTGTTAAAATAGGGCTGTGATATGATTCATGTGATCCTTCCGCAGGGTTGAGCTCATTACGGTCATCACCGCCAATTTTCTCTTTTTTTTTTTGTTTTGAATTTTCATTTTCTTGCTCGAGAAAGTTACAGGAGTGCATACGGTGCTGTGATATGGACTATAATCACTATAATCATTATCACTGACATCCTATGTTCAAAGGAATCTGGAGAAACAAAACGCATAAGGGGGATTTCTTTTGTGTGTCTGTTATTAATTACCTCTAGACTTGAGTACCTGTGATATCTACAGATATCTACACACACAAACACAGGCAAAAGCCTCCATAATGTAAACAGCTGGAGTTTGATTTTAACCGCAGGTTTACAGTGAAAACATTCCGATCTGGTATTGCCCACACTGTTGACGCTCGCCGGTTGACATTATTTAATTCAACAATGGCCACGAATTGAGCTCCTACATCAAATGTTACGTTGCCAATTTGGGCACATTTTGGTTTGGAGCCAGACGACGAGGGGCACCCGGCAAATTTGGATGAGGCAACATGCCGCGTTTGGGAAAAAGTACTCGTCTCACGAGGAAACGTCTAATCTAAGACCACATTTTAGAATTAATTGTCCTGCGGTGTTTGCCGGACTTGGCAGCAGCACACCTGCCTCAGGAGGAGGTACGACCTCTGGCCAACAGCAACACCTGTCTTCAAGGCCTTTGCGAGAGGAGAGAGGAGGGAAGTCCCAGCGTGACGACACCACAGCACAGGTTTGATATCGGCTTTTTTGTCAGTAACTCAACTTTAGACATGAGTTTTTATCATTTAAACTTGTGTCAGCAGAGCAGTCAGTCAGAATCATGCCTGTACTGTGGTGACTGCACTATTTGGGTCTGTAGCCTGATCGCTAAGCTAATGTTAAGTTAGCTGGTAAGGCATCCAAACACCACAGAACAGGTTTATTTTTGCACTGACTGTAATGTGTGTATACACTCACACTCACACAAATTATGGTTCTCCAAGGGATCTTTAGTGAAGAAAATGGTTCTATATAGAACCATGAACACTCAAAAAGCCCTTTGCACGTTTAGCCCTCATCTTCGCCTCATGAAACGGTTCTTCAGACTGATGCAGAATGTGCATGAATGTGCTATACGTGGTTCTATACAGAACCCAAGAGGGCTCTTCTACTGTTGACTTGACATCATAACAATAGAAAATCCCTTTTGGGTGCTATATAGAACCATCTTGAAAAAGGTTCTATGTAGAACCATCTACAGCTCATTCTCCATCAATCTGAAGAACCATTTCATGATGCAAAGAACCATTTAGTCATGTAAAGGGTGACTCTCTCTCTCTCTCTCTCTCTCTCTGTGTCGCGCGCTCTCTCTCTCTCTCTCTGTGGCTCTCTCTCTCTCTCTCTCTCTCTCTCTCTCTGTGTCGCGCGCTCTCTCTCTCTCTCTGTCTGTCTGTCTCTCTCTCTCTCTCTGTCTCTCTCTCTCTCTCTCTGTCTCTCTCTCTCTCTCGCGCGCTCTCTCTCTCTCTCTGTCTGTCTCTGTCTCTCTCTCTCTCTCTCTGTCTCTGTCTCTCTCTCTCTCTCTGTCTCTCTCTCTCTCTCTCTGTCTCTCTCTCTCACACAAACACACATATATATTGCTGCTATCTCCATTTTTGTCGTTATTCATTTTGTGTCATAATCTGAAAATGCCTGTTGCTCTTTACATTATGTGTAAATTTCATGATGAATGGACCAAAAGAAACGGCCGAAATTTACTTAGAAAAAATTCTGGTTCCATTGACTTACATTAAAAGTAAAGTAGGTTTTTTCCTTCTCCTGTAAAGTTACTATTTTGGAGATTCGAGGTTTTGGTCCAACAGCAGCGATACACACACAATGCCTGTAGTCCTTTATATTGTATGTAAATTTCATGATGAACGGACCTAAAAAAACAGCCCCAAATGACTTGGGTGGGGTTGGGGGGGGAGGGAGTCTGGCTCCATTGACTTACAAATCCATATCGTCACAGCCCTATGTTAAAAGTGCGGACCAACCCAGTGCACAGAATTCAGATGCCAGACAAGTGAAGACAACATATTGAGTTACAGTGTCATCGCTGGCAGGAACTGTCTGATCCAGCCTACGAGACGATCTCCGGGATTTTCTCTGAACGTTGATGACCTGAAAATCTTCCTCTTGCTCGTCCTCTTTCAACGTCTGTATACAATACCGCACACGTATCAGAATAACCTCTGAGGAGTGGAGTTTCCACCAATAAGCATCACCAGAATGTCTTTCCCCTCCCAAAGTCAGACAAACGGTCACATACAGAAGCCAGCGGAGATCAGTCCCAGGTAACTGAGCTGAAAGATTAATTTGCTGCACAAACTTCACAAAATGTTCACACAGGCAGACGCCTTTGAAGTGTATGTGTGTGCGTACCTGTAATGCTACCCTTCTGAAGACCAAATGCACAGTAAAATTCCAAAATATCCGGAAAAAAAAAAGAACACAAATATTCCTTTTGCTCTGAAAACCAACAATTGTGAAAATAATTAAAATAACTGCGATCAACCCAAATAATCTCAGTCCGCAGGTCTAAGCTGATTTTCTGTACACTGTTAGAAATAAAGGTTCTGTTCAGGTACATTTCTCGTTCATCAAGGTACAAACAGTGTAAATGTTCCCTCAAAGCTCCAACAGTGGTTTTAAGGTCTGATTGTGAACCTTAAATAAGTTTTTCCAGGTGAAAAGTTCGTATTTGTACCTTTTCATAACCGAATGTTTTAAACAGAACAGTAAAATAAAAGCCTGGAGACGAGACGGGGTGTGTGGAGTCAGTACAGCTTAGAACATATCATTTCAGTGGATTATGGTTCAGTTATGTTCCCTGACTAAAGGTACTGAGATGGACCCTCGAGGGTACCACCCCAGTGACAAGAGGGGGACTGACCCAGTGACAGTTTAGTGCCTTTATTTCTGAGAGTGTTCGACAGAAATAAATTCCGTTTTTAAAACTGCCACTGTCGCATCCTGTGGTACACTGAAGTGCCCTAAAGCTGACATTTTGTTGTGTGTGCAGTTTGTTGTGTATGGTTACATCGCAATGATCATTTTGTTAAACTTCCAGCTGAGTAAATACGATTTCCTGTCTACAGTAAGACAAATAGTGCTAACAAGCACCATCCACGCAAAGTCACGTGGCAAAAAAGCAAGGAGACGATGGGGGAGGTGTGGGAAAACAGACAAAAGATAAGCAGGAGATTACAGAGTGTTCAGACTACTAAGTGAAACTGGGAGAAAGTGTGGTTGGGTGTCTAAGTGTGTGTTGTTTTTCCTCCTCACCTTGTGCTGGCCACTGCGTGTTCTGGCGGTGACTGGTGTTTTTCCTCTGCTCCTCAATGGCCTCTCCACCACTGGGACTGGGTCTGGCTCGGGTTCTGGCTCGGGTTCAGGCTCTGGGACTGCTGTTGGTGTTTCTGATCAACAATGACAACATTCAGCTCAGCTCGTTTGCTATTCATCTGAGCTTCAAGTGACATTTCAGTTAGAAATTTGCATCTTATGTTAAGCTTTCAATACACTTCTATACTAGTTTGCTATAATCTTCATTTAGCATTACCAGGCGCCACGCTATCTGCCTGTCTAGGCAAATTAAACATCCTAGAGTTTCAGTCACGGGATTTTTCTGTTGTGGCCATCATATTTGGGACCGATTTTCTGGCTCTGCTGCTCCGCACGAACGTAACTAGAGGTGAAAAATGGCTAAAATTACTCTCCTCACTTTGGAAGAGAAAAATGTTACCGACAAAGTCGATAAAATAGGCTGAGATCCTTCAACAGTTCCCCCCTGAACTCCTGATCCCACTTAAACTGGCGGAAAAGCTGCCAAATTTGTTTTCCTGACATTTATATTTCTCATACTCAGACCCTCTCCCTATTCTGGAGCCTCTCAAAGCATTTAAAAGCACAGAAGCCCACCGGCTCTTCACGTCAGGGTGGGTAAAGGATCCCATGGTGTCCATAAAGAGGAGATAAACTCATCATAGGAGGAACGACATCAGCTAATTAACACAGATGAGATCAATGCTGGCCTTTAGATAACTTTAGCTGATGTTATCAGCTGAGAGATGAACAGTCGCCCCCCCTAACGGAGCTGCAGACAGCCGGTATAACTTTACTCTCTGTTTCTGATTTAAATGACGTTTGAATGGAGGAACATAAGCGTTAAGTATCAGACTGAATGTCGTGGGTCGGAAAACGACGTCGTGTTTCGACAGACGTGATTCTGTAAGTTTTCTAGTGCAGTTAGTTCAGAGTTCAGCTCCAGTCCTGAAACCCCTGCACTGCATAACTGTGGTTTCCTGGTTAAAATACCTGATATTATTAGCTAATTAAGCCCTTCTTGGGCTGAACGAGGTGAGAACAGCAGAGAGAAACACTAAACTATACAGTGCAGCGGCTCCAAGCCTGGAGTGAAAACACTGAATTAAAGGTCTGTGTGTCTATCGTCTTTTGGCCTCTGCTGAAGGTGAATCGTTCACAAAGCCCAGCAAAGTGAAGGCATCGTGCAGCGCAGCCACTCCCCGATTCAGTCCTCAAATTGGCGGAGACTATTCGGTTCGACGTCACGCAAAACGTGACAATAAGACTTAAGATCTCGGAAGGCAAATTAAGAAGGAATGCAGTCAGCTCAACACTATTTTTTGCTGTAAAATATTGAAAAACACAAATATATCAGACACTGTATATCCAAAGGTATAACAACGTTACATCGTTTAGACCTTGGGGAAGGCTACCGAAATTCACGAAATTCATTTTTAGCTTTTAATGACCCGCAGACGCACAAGAGTAAAGGCTTTGTGTTGTTACCTTCCTCCTTATCGCTGTACTGGTCTGAGTCAGTGTTGCCATTCTGACTGTTGTCAGTTCGAGTAGGTTCGGAGAGGGGTACGACCGCCTCAGGTGGGCCCAGGTCTAGTAACTTCTGGAGCTTCTTCTCATACACCTTACGTGTGGATGCTGCAAAATTCAGAATAAAAATGATTACATAGACAAACAAATCAGAGGAACAGTTTAATACAAGTCACAGGCTACGTTCACATTGCAAGCCTCGCTGCTCAAATCCGATCTCTCTGACACGATGGTTCACACTCGTTTAGGTAAGTGATTCAAATCTGTCATTAATGTGACGAACCGGCGTCCTGAAATGACCCTCATGAGCTCATCCTACTCAGTAACGTCACGTGAACGAATCACGTTCATTATCGGCACAAACTAACGAGCAGAACGAGCTTCGCTGAGAAGATAATTAACTCTGATCAGCTCTCAGCTTCATTATTAGAGCGAGACGAAGGAGAAAAAGGTGAGATGAGCTGCTTTTCCACCGTTTACAGGCTTTAACTTCTGTTCGGCGCTGCTGCCATGGTAACGCTGAATGATGGCGCACTTGGAAAAAAAAAACACATGAATTCCGATCTGAGCGTCACATTAAGTCAGACTGCCACGAATCGGATACGTATCCGATCTAGGACCACATATGAAAGTGACTCAGGTCGGGTTGTTGAAAAGATCAGATTTGTGTCCACACAGCTCTGAAAACATCAGATCTGAGTCACATTAGGGCAAAAAATTTGATTTGTGCCACTTAAACCTGGTAATGTGAACGTAGCAATATAAATGTATCCCAAAAGAAATGGGGGAAAAATAAATAAATAAATAAATAAATAAATACCAGACCCTTTTCTCTCTTTATTTCATGAGAACAGACATATAGAACACAAGGCAAACAAATAAGATAAAAAGCAGTACAAGCGAGACAAAAATCATGACAACTGACAGACAAAAGAAGTAAAAAAAAGCGAGACAAATAAAAACACAAATAAATGACAAACTGTGTGTGTGTATACATATATACTTCTGGTATCTTTGTACCAAAAATACAATAGTCTATTATAGTAATACATGTCAATAATAACTACTTTGCTGTACAGAAGAAAGTGAAAAAAATCTTATTCTAAATGAACAAAACCCAAAAACACTAAAATATAAAAATCTCCCCAACCGCAATTTTCAGAAAAGAATAAAAGTGAAAATCATGTCTGGATATTTAAAGTCTGAACAGTAAGGTGGATATAAATGTTATGGCACCAAAAGAATGCAAACACACCATTTAAGGACATCTAAACAGCTCCAGCTTGAGCGAGAGAGAAAACTGCAGCTAAACACAAACTGTGCTGATAAACTGATAACAGACTATTTTAAACTATTTCAGCCCCCATAGCGGTGCTTCATTAATCAGGCCACACAGTATCCATTAGGGCTGCATGGCAGATACACAAAATGCACTGTTCGATTAAGCTGCTGGAATCACGATGGCGTTATGAGAAGAGATGAATTCTGATTTAAACAGGGTCTGCTGTACTGACTCAGCAGCCCTGATTTCAGCCGTAAACCTCTCTGCAATGGTCTCTAGATTCAATACAAGTGTAGAGAAAGGCTGCAACAAATGACTAATTTGATAGTCGATTAATCTATCGATCACTGGAATGAATATACTACTATTCGGATTATGAATCACTGCTTTTCCAAATAAACACTTATGTAGCCATCAGCTTTTAAATTTAGCTATTTTTGCTGTATGCATTTGCTAAATAACATACATACATACATACATACATACATACATCATCTAAACCGCTTATCCTTCTGGGTTGCGGTGGGGTGCTGGAGCCTATCCCAGCTGTCATTGGGCGGAAGGCAGGATACACCCTGGACAGGTCGCCAGTCCATCACAGGGCAGACAGACAGACATACACATTCACACACACCTAGGGGCAATTTTAGCATGTCCAACTGGCCTGACTGATTTGCTAAATAACAATGAAGACAAAAGATGAATAACTTATTTAAAAATTCACTGTTTTATTGAACTTTCCTGCCAATACAAAAGATAAATAAAACTCCAATGTCTTTCTTTAAAACCAAGGATGTGCAAAATAGCAGCAAAAAATATACCAAAACTAAATCAGTTTTCCCTTAAATCAAGTAAATTAAAAAAAAAAAATATTTAGATTAAATTCTTTCAATTCTACAAATCACAGATCTTTACTAAAAAGAGGAAAGTCAGCGTCTCTCCGTGCTGAGAGTCTCGCTCTCCTCTGAGAGCAGATATTCCCTGCTGCAGAGGAGACGCGCTCTGATGGAGCGGATGGGAAAGCGGCAGTGTTTGCGGCAAACTTGTTCTCTATGAACGGTTAAATTAACGATTTTGCTTCATTTCAGCGGTGACCCTTCGTCCAGCTGCCTCGCATGTCCGCTGAGAACTATCTTGTGAGTGGTGGCAAACGTTCGCCGAATCTGAAAGCCCCTGTGGCCTCGACGCTAAGGCAACGATGCAGTGTTTAAAAGTGTTATCTGGAAAAAAAAAACGTTATCTGGAACGTCAACAGGGTCGTTGTGAATAACAGTTACTTGCTTCTGTGTTCAAACTCCATTAGTGATACAAGAGAGCAGCATTTCAGCTCGGCTCATAACAGGAAGCAGGACGGCCTTTAACATTAACGTTGCCTAACTAGCTCACCAGCACAACTCGCCACATCCCAAACCGCACACTTCTGTACTTCACACACTACAGTAATGAGGGCACTTAATGGTATATGGCTATTTTTACACACTATTTAGTGAGCTTGTATGCGGTTTGGGATGCAGCATCTTATTTTGATGCGTTTCCTCTTCAGATGCTCCAGCATGGAGGATGTGCTCCGTGCCAGCTAAGGTCGGCTTTACAAACAGCACAACTGACCAGATTTTATCTCAGTTTAGCTCCTCACTTTTAAGGATTTTGTTCTCGAAGCTGCCATCGCGCTGTTGTCAACTCTCCAGTGAGCGGTAATGTCAAAACGTTCCTAGTGAGCGCAAGAAAGACACGTAACGACATCACCAACTAATCAACTACTAAATTAGTTGCCGACTAATTTAGTCGTCAATTTTAGTCGACTAAGTCGAATGAACGTTGTACGCCTACTGTAGAGCAGCAACGCATGAATTATGAGTTCTGGAACTCAACAAATTCAAACGTTAATTTTAAAGTGGGGTTTAAACTCCATTTTTTCCCTTTATGTCAGAAAACTGTCTAAAGATGGTTACATGTTTGTTTTCTTTGCATGAGCTACTATGAATGGCAAACTGACCAGGTGGTCAAAGACACTATAGTGAGGTTCATACATGAAAACGCTTAGCTTGTAAACATCTGCAGGCCTGAAAGTGAACAACTGGCTTACCCACAATGGGTCCGGCATTGACTCCATACTTCAGAAGTTGGTCTTTCAGACCTTCGTTGGTCAGCTCTGTCACATCTATCTCCTCTGGCCGGACTCTGTCCGTCTTCCTGGTGGCTTTCTTTAGAGTGAAAAGAACAGACGAGATTTAGACAGTTAATTTTACATTTTATTCAGAATATAACATCTGAGCTGTTCTGCTGAAACTAATCAGTTAGTCTAACTCAGTGGTCACAACCCAAACGTTAAGAAGAGCCATTTCTGTCCTTTCAACAAAAATCAAACCACCTTGGGAGCCACAACATTTATGTCCATTTTATTGAAGTAACGTTTTACCATCTTGGCTGTAAATATGTCTCAATATTTGTTAATGTGCTAGTATAGACTAAAATATAGTATAAACGAAAATCCAGACTTACTTTGCTCTGCTTTAAGCTTTAGCTCAGCTATAGCTGCTTTTCCTGCATCTCCAGCAGGAAACTTTACCTCAAAAATAGAACAGTTTCTTGTAAAACGTCTCTCAGCGTTCGTCTTTTTATGCGGCTGAAGTTGCTTCTCATTCGCCAGCTTCTCGTTTGAATTTTCCTGTTCCACCTTAAATGGTGCCTGAGGCGCCAGAATGCAACTGTTGCACCATTTAAGGTGGAACAGGAAAATCTGAACGAGAAGCTGGCGAATGAGAAGCGACTTCAGCCTCGTGACGTTTTAGTGTTTTTCAGTTTCTCACTGCAGATTAAACTGCAGATTAATCAGGAAACCAGCTGGAGTGATTATAAACACAAATAAGTCCATTCGTCTCCAAATTATCGATGCTCGTCTTAAATCTCTCTCTTTGCCTTTTCAACAATTAGGCTAGATTGTTGTCTGTGTTGCTATGGTGACCAGCAGTCTGCGCTGATCTTCAGGGTTAAAGGGTGAATTAGCAGTTCTACATTAACTCCAGAGTTTAAGACCATTTATTGTTAAACTGTGTTGAACGATCAGCAGAGCTTTATTTTACTGTAAAGGAGGATTATTTTATTTAAACCTACAAACCTAATTCTGCTGTGGAGCCACAACAGGGCAGCAAAAGAGCCACATGCAGCTCCAGAGACGCCTGTTGTCGATTGATTTTCTGTGTAAATAATATTCTCTAGAGAACACACGTAAATGACAATTTTCTGCAAATATTTGCGCACAATCTTTTATTTTGTTTCAATTGTGCACAATTTTGTTTATTTTAAAAAAATATACAACATTAAGTTTTGCCATAACTTCTGCTCAGTTCAGCAAATAAACAGTACTTGTGCATTTGTGCAAATATTAGGGCAGAATTTCTATTTATTTTTACTGAATTTAACAGTTTGCATGGTGAAAACTCTTCTTCAGATTGATGGAAGTCGAGCATAGAGAATGGCTCTATACAGAACCATAAACACTCAAAGAACCCTTTGCATGATTAAAGGCTTTGCCGCATTGTGAAATGGTTCTTCAGACTGATGGAGAATCTTTTGTATACGGTTCCACATAGAACCTTTTTGAAAAGGGTTCTATATATCACCACAAAGTTCTTCTATTGTTTCGATGACAAGCTTGTAACAATAGAAGAACCCTTTTCAGTGCTATATAGAACCCTTCTCAAAAAGGTTCTATATTGGAACCAGCTAAAGCACTTTCTCCATTCATGCAAGGTACTCTTTAATCATGCAAAGGGTTCTTTGAGTGTTCATGGTTCTCCTTGAAGAACCACCTTTTTTGAGCGTAGAACACATTGTGCACACACACACACGTCACCCGTCTGAGCAGCTGCTGCCAGATGTTTGAAGGCAGCTGCTACTGCAGACAAATCACAATTGTAGCCATGAATGCCAAAATGCCAGGATCCTCAACAGGTGTTTGGATGTCTAACCAGCCATCCAGCAGCACACGAGCTGCAGCCACAGCACAAGAAACCATGTGAACTTAGTTGTGTCGGTTTTCCAACTGAGGGTGGGTGGGTGGGTGGGAGAGAGGGAGTTTGGGGTGGGGGGAGCATTTATTTGCACATCTTGTTTTTTTGTTTAGTATTAAAAATAAAGTTGTTCACAAAAAGTTGGCCAAAAAAAAGCTGGCAAGAATAAAAGCAGTCATATGTAAAGAAAACGTTCCATTGACTTTAAGTGAAAATAAGTCCACATCCTCCACAGAGAGCACACTTATGCGTATTTTAATGCACAATTACCGTTACACACTGAATTTAACATATTGGAAAGAATAAAACTCGTGCATTAAAAAACTGTACTCTAAAAAATGCCGTATTTAAGCGTGTTCCTTGTAGAGGACGGCATTTAACGCACAAATGAAATGAGGTTCGCTTGCAGCTCCACACAAAAGCTACAAGAAAATTCCAGAATAATGGAGTCACTGGGGCTGGGAGTGTGTTTAACTGTTGCAGAGGGGGGGACAGAGCAGGAATACTGCAGTCCAGCCACATTCCCCTGGAGCGCCGCCATCGCTCGCTCCACAAAAACGAAAACATGTGATTGAGCTGAGGCAGAAAAACAGTGCGAGGGGGAAGGCGGTGGGCATGCATGTGTGGGTTATGCATGTGCGTAGAGGAGGCGAGGCGGCGGACGGAGAGAGCGGAGTTATGTGTTTCAGACGGTCCTCACTGGATAGGAGTTCTTTAGCAAAGCCATGAGGCCTTCAGAGGGGGAACTGGAACGACGTCCATTTAAAGAGAGAATTTCATAATGGCAGATTCCAAGAGGAAAAGGGTGGCAGGGCGGAAGGGACAATAACAACAACCTTTCCTCAGTCGTCCAGCCACAACCTCAGAGTGTGAAGGCAAGTGTGCAGATCATGTGATAGTGTGCAATAAAGACATAACAGTTGCGTCATGAAAGACGAGGTTAGACCAGTGCTGGACGATTTTCGCGATTAGTTCGGTTAATTCAAATTTTTCACACAATGTTATTTGTATTATTTTATAAAAATAATTTTCACAGAGCAGATCACTGAAGAGACGCCATCTGTTTATAGTTTATAGCCCAGATTTCTGGAAAAATGGGTCGACTTTCAGTAGAAAAAAAAAAAATTGTGAGTTCAGCTTCTTTTATTATAAGGGTTTAAAATTACATCATCCATCTATTTGACTGGATAGAAGACAGTTACAGCTCTCATACGACCCCCACCTTTAGAATGTAGTTTATGAAATACGAAAGTTATGAAGTAAAGAATGACGAAGTGCGTTTTGAAACCACCGGTGGTTCCACTGAGTTAAAGAGGTTAAAATACCAACAAAAACAATTCAAATTTTTAAGACGTACAAAAAAAACATCTTTAAAAGCCGGCTTTCACAGGTCTGAGCGCTGACCTCAGCCGTGCGCGGTCGGGGGGGAATAAACAAAAAGAGCCCAGTCCCATTTCTTCTTTTTACTCTTACCCCTTGTTTTCGAGTGTCACCCTAACCCCTTGGAACTGAGTTACAGGGTAGTGGTTGAAATCCTCCCTCTGAAATGAGACCCTCAAATAAAAAGAGCATCACTTCATTAACAGCTACCAGCGCTGCTCTGTAGGCGACCCTGCCAGTCTGCAGTGACAGCAGAGGAGGGTAAAGTTCAGCTCCTCACTGCTGGGCTTTAGTTACACTTAGGGAATCATATGCCTTCAAAGAGGGGGGCAATTATTTATTATCACCCACCACTAATTCTTCAGTGATATGAAGCTGAAGTCAGATATTCTCCAGCTTGTCCTTCGAATTTTCCCGTTCCACCTTAAAAGGTGCAGCAGTTACATTCTGGCGCTTCAGGCGTCAGAACTGCTGGACTATTTAAGGTGGAACAGGAAAGTTACCGAAACATTAGCACACTATTAGCGATTTTTATGCTTGTTATGAAGAAAACGACCATAATACACAAACAACATTAAACTAAGATAATACAGTGGTTATCGTAATTTTTTAATAGAGAAAATTCTCACATTTGTGTGTTTCTTTGGTCTCTTGTTCAGCCATCTTGCCGGTTTTTCGTTTTTTTTTTTTCTTATATTACTCTCTGTTTGGAGTCTCCGAAAAACCTCTGTTTGGAGGGTCATGTAGCCCCAACACTTCACCCTCCCCCTCTGTCTCAACAAAAATCAGGACACCCTACCCCTAGACGGGAACACACAAAACGGAGGGCTAAGGGCTGAGTGGTAGGGGCGAGGGGTGAAATGGGACAGGGCCAAACACGGCAAGCTGGAGGAGGGTTTCTGACACCATCAGTCCAGACAGCACTCGGTCACTGTGGTTCAGTGTTAAAGTGTTCACACAGGCCTGCCCACTGCGCCACACATCTGTTTCTGCACATAAGGAGGCATTAAGGCAGTAAACCGCAGTTTTCCCAACTGGCACTGACGCATCTTTGAGAATACCAAATATTGAAGTGAGTGAAGTGACTAAAGCTACTGCAAACCAGGTGCAGAGCACTGAGAAACGGACCAGTCGAAGGCAAAGTAGAGCTGAGAGAACTTTGTCTCTACATGAAAAATAACCATGGAATGCCATGCAGAATAAATAAATAAATAAATAAATAAATAAACAAACAAACCATCCACAGCCGCATCAAAATACAGCTAAAATCAGTGGGCAGCTGCTTTCACATCAGGTTTTCTGTTCTTTTCTAACACAGGGAAAATTATTGTCGGTGGAAAGTGACTATGCTACACATGTGGATGGTAGAGAATCGAGTCGAAAAACGCAGGAGTATTCCTTTAAGCCAGGGTTTCGCAACCTTTGGGCCGCGGACCACTAGAGGGTGCCCATCGGCCCGACTCAGGGGGAGGCAGTAGTTTGCAGTGGGCCGGTAACGGCACTTTAACCCTCTACTGCACGCATTACGAGAGCAATTATACGCATTCGATTCACTTTTCTTGCATAAACTGGACCTGACTGTGTGTGCAGGGGTCCTTTTGAGGTATGTTGCCTGGGAAGAACTGAGCTGTGTTCCCTGAGGTGGCGAGACCTGGCTTGTGACTACCCAAATCCATTCCACCGTCACAGCGTGTTGCTTCTAGGCAACAAACACATTTCTGCAAATTCTCATAACAAAAAAGCGATACTGAAAGTTGAAAAAGAGCTTTAAAAGTGCCCACCAGGAGATAATATGACCAAATACATGATTT